TCTTCCTCAATTTCTAAACTGCCTGGAGACAGCCATAAGAACACACCCTGACAACGGACCCCTCACTCATCCATCCACCCCTCGATCGGTTGAGCTCTAGTCTAAGGGTGAATGCTAATTCAAGGAGTGGGAGCCCACAGTCAATTAAATAGGCAGTAATAATGTGGTGCAATAAGCACTGCGGTGGAAATGGGCATGAGAATAGGCAACAGAACAGCTGATTCAGCCTCACAGAGAAAGGATATTTGAGTTGATGCTAGAAGTTGATCGTTTGCCAACAGAGGGAATGACATGCACGATGGAAAAGAGTTATTTGAAACACGGCCTGTTTGGGAAACTGAAGTTAGGGATGTGTTTGTGGGAGTGAGCTGGGAGTAAGCCTGGAAAGGTAGACTGAGGCCGGCTTATGAAAGGCCTTGTATGCTGGGCTGGAGTGTGGTCTCTGCCCTGAGGGCATGGGCAGTCGGTGAAGGTATCTCAGTCTGCTTGTGCTGCCATAACGAATGCCATGGACTGGGCGGCTTGAACAATAAACACTTATTTCTCATAGTTCTTTCTGGAGGCTGAAAGTCCAAAATCAGGGTGCCAGCATGGCCGGGCTCTTGGTGAGGACCCTCTCCCTGGATACATCCTCACATGGCCTCCCTGTGGGGTGGGCTCACAGAGAGAGAGAGAGAGAGAGGGAGAGCGAGAGATCTTGAGTCTCCTCCTTTTCCTATTAAGGCACAAATCCCATCATGGGGGCACCACCCTCACGCCCCCGTCTCACCCTCATCACCTCCCAAAGGCCCCACCTCCAACCACCATCCCATGGGGGTTAGGGCTTCAACACACGGAGTTTGGAGGGGCACAAGCATTCAGTCTTTAATCCTTAGCAGAAGGATTTTAGGTAGAGTAGTGACAGGATCAGGTCTGCGTCCTGATACACAGCAGCAGCAGCCTAAAAGCACAGACAGAAAGCTACCAACATGCAAAGCAAAAATACATTTTTAGAGTGTTTTAAAAATTCAAAATACCGTTCTCTATATTATCTTATTGGGTTTTGGGCCCGGGGGGCAGAAGACTAGCCCTGAGCCACCAATCCTTCTCTTTTTGCTGAGGAAGACTGGCCCTGAGCTAACATCTTTGCTCATCCTACTCTACTTTATATGTGGGACGCCCACCACAGCATGGCATGCCGAGCAGTGCACCCAGGATCTGAACTGGTGAACCCTGGGCCGCCCAAGCGCAATGTGGGAACTTAACCGCTGCACCACCAGGCCAGCCCCCTTATTGGGTTTGTTTTTTGAAACCGCCTGCCCTGGATCATTAGCACTATTTTAAAGATGAGGAAACAGATGCAGAAAGGTTACTGACTTGTCTAAGTTGGCTCAGTTAGCAGGAGGTGGAGTGGAGACATCAACTTAAGAACTTGGAAGGACAATACGGCTGAAGCCTTTCCCAGCTCTCAGCTCTGGGGAATACCTCGTGCTGTTGACTTCTGTCTCCGACGAGGCCTGCAGGGAAGTTTAGGAAGCTGCTAAGTTTTTGCAAAAGTGGTGAACGGTAGAGCTGGCAGGTGTAAACTCCAGCCCAGCGCTCCCTCCCGCCACCAGGACGGCAAGTAGTGCGGGTTTACGTCTGCTGGGAGCCGTGGGTTCTGAATGGATGGGCTCCTTATGGCACTGCACGGATACAAAATTAGCCTTGGAAATCCCTTAGGAAGGTGCCGTGTTGGAGAGCTCAAGCCTTTCAAAGAGTTCCTCCTGTCTGAATAGGGCAGGGTCCAGAAGTATTCGCCTTTTGTTTGGGAGTCTACTGTATGCAAACACTAGCTCTTCCTTTCAGAAGCCAGAATCCTACTTAGTGTGTTGAGATGCTCACATGAGGAGATGCCTGGGGGGTGAGAGCCCGTCACCCCTCACTCCAGGGCACGTGCTCCTGGAGTGTAAGGGGGGGTAGAATCACCCACACTTTCAAGACTGCTCTGTCTCTCTTTTCATTTGTAGGGACCCTGCGTGGTTGCATTTGGGTGAACTAACTGTGCTTACGATGTGAGTCTCCTATATGCACAGAAGAGACTATGAGTTAGCCCCTGGGCTCTTTCCCACTGAACCTGGCCTTGACCTCAGAACCCATCTCAGCTGTAATCAGTCGGTGGGAATTGGCATCCCTGAACTATATTAATGCCACCTATTTTCAAGAATATATTTGAAGCATGATTAAAAAGATATCAGTTGCTGGGAAAATGTAAATAGACACTATTATTTTAACTATAGGAGGCAGTTATCTTAATCCCCACACCCCTGAATTTGAGCCTCTGTGCCTGTATGACAGCTGGGCAAGGGCAGAGGGTGTCTGCAGAGGAGGACTGTGGGCCCATGGGGAGAGAGATGGGCGAGTGTGGCCTTGGCTCAGGTTGCCAGAGGGAAGAGGCTTTGATTTCCCTTCTCAAGAAGCAGGACACGGTGAAAGGGCCAGGCCATGGGGGACACACAGGCTTTCAGCCAAAATCCCAGCTCTGCCACTAGACAGCAACATAATGTCTGTGTGCCTCAGTCCCTCATCCATAACGTGGGATGAGTTCTTCTCTCCTGGAGTAGTTATGAAGAGTAAATGGGTGGCAATGGCAGGTCAGACCCAGTCAGCGCCCTAGGGTGGCCCTAGAGGGCTATGCCCCACCTGATCCAAGGGCCTGGACCTGGGTGTGGTTCCACCAGCGGTCTTATCCCCCAGCCTCAGCCCCTGCATCCTGGCAAAGTCCCTTCTGCCAGATGCTTCTCCACACCAATCTGCCTTCAAATAAATCAATAAGTGGACAGATGAGCTGACTCGGGCATTAGAATATTTGCAAAGGGTGGCTCTCAAGACAAAGGATGCATGAAATAATCCGTTTTGGCACTGGGTGAATTTGTTCCAACCAAAGGGCCATCACCGGTGTCAGGGGCGGTTAGCATCACGCTGCCCTGTATCTATTTCTCGTTAGCTTTCCAATGTGAACAGTAAACACGTTTCACTGCTTTGCAAACCTCTCCAAAACAAAAATTCTGACAGCAACCTTAACTGTTTTCCTTCCCTCCCGCCACCCTTCCCGTTGGCTTTCTCCTGCTTGCTCTTGCTCATTCCAAACTTTTCAAGTTCAAGACCCTGGGAACCTGCTGCGTTCAGGAGCAGGAGCTGAGGAAAGTTCCGACAGAAGGTTTTCTCTCTTGATCTTCTTTCTCTTCACCACGGCTAAAAATACACACTTCTCCACCCCACCCTGTCAACTACCCTGTAATTGGAAGGTCTGCCAGATTCTCCCCTGACAAATCTCTACCCCAGAGCAGAAGGCAGGGAAGAGGTGGTGAAGGTGATGGAGCGGGTTGAGCTGGGGTACTCCGTGAGCCTGGGGTTTTGAGCTAAAAGCTGACGGTCAGCGAAGGGTGGGGGCTCACGCAGGAAGGATGGGCTCCTGTTCCTGGAGGACACGACACTGGGGGAGCCCTTCCCTTCCCCTGGCACAGTCAGGCCTTCTGACGTGCTGGGCAAGTGAATAAGGCTGGGATCTTCAAGGAGCTTGCTACTTTGTGCCAGAGATGGCCATATAAACAGTCACAAAGCTATATAGTTACACGTATGTCTGAAGTGATGTTTAAATGTTAACATTGGTTATTTCTGGAAAGTGATGGGAGTTTGAGTGAGTTGCATTCTTTATATTTTTCTGTATTGCTTGTTTGTTAAATAATGAATATGTGTACTTTATAAAAAGTGAGAAATTTATTACTTTAATAAAAGCAATAGTGCGACATAGTGACTTTTCTAGAAGTCCATGCAATCTGGAAACCCTGAGGTTTTTAAAGCAAGAGGGGCCCTCTGGTTGAAGACAATTTCTAAACCAGAGTAAAATTGGTTAGGTTGTTTTCTACGCAGTCCTCGTTCTGTATCTGAGGACACAGAGAGGATATTGCTCGAACAGAGTATGAGATGGGAAGAGGCGAGAGGTGATCCTGGAGAGCCAGGCTTGGGCCAGACTGTGAGAGGTTTATGTGCCAGGCGAGGGGCAGGCACACCTGTTCCTCAGTCAGGGGAATGGATATAGTTGGTGGCATGAGGTGGTATGTCAGGGGGAGCTCAAAACCACAAGAGAAATAAACACAGTGCACTCTTCCTGGGGCATAATCTTCCTTGACCACGCTTGGGCAAGAGGTTGAGCGATTCAGTGGATGGGTGATTTAAAGCCTGATTGTGGTATTGGGACAAGCCTTAGCACGGGCTCCAGGCTGGCCCTCCAAGGGATCATGTGTTGGCTCTGCTCTACTGTTGGGAGAATCTCTTGGAAAGTTTGAGGGGGCCTGCTGTAGTGACAGGAAGTGATGAGAAGGGTCACCATCCTTTCTGTGGTTTAGGAAGGTCACCTAGTGGCTGGTACGAAGAAGGAGGTTGCGATTTGAGGCAGGGAGGCCAGCTGGGAGGCCCTCACGACAGCTCACTTTAGAGGACCTGCGAGCCTGGCCAAGTGGCTGGATGGGGGTGGAGGGGAGAGGGGTGTGGGAGGAGAAATGATGGGACCTGGATATTGCTGGGGGAGGGGAGGGACAGGTGGGAGTCAAGAATGACCCCCAGGCCTCCGTGTTGGGTCACTGGGGGATGAGGATGCCATCAACTCGACAGAGAATACAGAGGGGGAGGCTTTATTTTGCACACCTAGATGGGGGTGGACCTCAGGCCACTCAGGGAGAGGGTCCTGGAGGAGAAGAGAAGAGAGACAAGGGAACAACCGTGGTGACAGCAACTTTAGGGAGTTGGTGGAGGAAGAGGACCTAGTGACGGGAAGACCCCTCACACTTATCCTCCAGCCATGCCACACAACTCACAGAGGGCAGGGGCCCAGGCCAGGCAGGCCTCCAGCCTCTGCTCCCTCAGCTCCTCTGCCAGGACTGCGCATCTCCCCCTGTCCTTCTGGCAAAAGCCCTGCCATCTCGCAGTTCCCCTCCGAGGCCTCCCTTCTTAAGTGTAAATGACAGTTGCTTCTTTTGTGCCTCGCTTACGCCCAAACTTCCGGTCCCCGGGGCCCTCTACAGACTGCTCAGGTCCCCGTGGCTGCCTTCCTCCACCAAACCGGGAGCTCCCGCACCCAGCCTTCCACGGAGGAGGTGCTGAACAAGGGTTTTCTGGGTGAGTGAATGGATTGTCAAAATGGAAGGAGAAAGGGGCAGGGGAGGGCGTGGTCACAGAGAGAGAGAAAGGAAAGAATTCTCAGTCAAGAGTACTAACTGCACCAAAGAATAAAGTTATTTAAGAGCTAGTAAGTGTCTGTTTCTCTTGGCAGTGGGGAGGTATCCTCGGCAAGAATAACTTCCCTGGCATAATGGGGGCAGAAACGTATTACAGCATGTTTACACTGAAGAGTGAATAGGAGATAAGAAAGTGGGGACACTGAGTGCAGACTTTTTTCCCAGGAAGCTCAGAATAGAAGGAGAGAGATAAGGTAATAATTTTTACAAGTGACACAGATTTTTAAGACTTGAGGGGAAGGAGGAAATGAAGGGGAGAAGCTGACGATGTGAGGAATGAGTGCCACTGATGGGATGGGGAGGGATGAGAGCAAGGGCAGGGCTGGAGGACCGGCTTGGACCTGAAGATGTGGACCCTTCCCCTGTGAAGCAGGAGCTGAGGTGAAGAGGAGGCAAGAGGTTACAGGTTTAAGGAGATCAGGGAAGACTGAATGGGATAGGGAGCTGACACGGACAAATACAAAGGCTCACGTGTGTGCTTTGCACCCGAGACTGGAAACTGAGCCAGGCCTCCCCTCCCTGCGGTTACATGATTTTTCTAGAACTGCTCAGGTGCTCAGGTGCAGTGAAGGGAGTTTGCAGGGCAGATGTGACAGAAGAATGAAAGCGTGAGAAAAAAAATTAAGGAGCCTGATGGAGGGATGGCTGAAGCTCTGGGCCTGAGTTCCAGAGTGTGTAGGAAAGGAAAGAGAGGGCAAGATCTTGGGAGAAGACACAAGTTCTAAAGACCCAGGTGTCACGGAGGTTGAAAGGCAGGTATAGTGGAGAAAAGAGAGCAGGAAGGCTGGAAGAATGGGAGGTTGTGGTCTGAGAGAGAGATGAGTTTCAGGGGTCCAGTAAGTTGTGCGACGCCCAAGAACTGGGAGCCACCCAAAGGCCTTTGAAAACACGAGGGGTGATGTGCGAGTTGAGAGAGAAAGGAAGACTTTACCTCAGGTGCCTGGAGTCCTCGGGGAGCATGGTTAGTCTGGTAGAAGGTGTGTCAAGGAGTGGCTGAGGAAACTTTTCCAGTTTTCAAAAGCTGATATCAATGTCTCCCACTTTCTTCATAAAAACTTCCTGGCTCAACGCAATGCTGTGGGAATCTCCCGAGCCTCATTCATTTAGACCCATAATGGCACCTTGCTGTTCACTGTTGTTTAATAGGCACTTTGCTGGGTCCCCTGACCACAGTGCAAGCTTCTGGGCTTGGGAACTCAGAGGGTGGTGGGCCAAATCCATCACTGATATTCCATGGAACGCTAGCCCACAGGACGCCTGGCTACAAACGGGTTCTGAAGTTAGGAATATTTTGAGAGGGGATGGCTATTTTGTCCCATTCTTGGAGGTTTACATGTTCTCATTGTGGGAAATGGCACTTTAGCTCTCATGGCACCATTTCTGCCATCTAACCATGCAGCTATATCACAAAGTTTACTTAAGCCAGTGTTGAGTATTTATTCACCGTACACGCATCTTGGGCACTGCTGAGCCAAGTAGTATACTGTAATTACATTTCCTTTCTTGTGTGCTCACATCAGGTTTTATAACAGCTTCATTTTTTTATGCCCTTCTTCCTAGGAGCTGGCAGTCCTCCCGTTCCCTTCTGGATCACCTGCTCTCTGGACCTGTTGCAGAGTTGTCATTGGGGACTCTCCTCTATCACCCTAGGGTTTACCTTTCCCATTCTCCTGTCTGGAGGCCTCTTCCTGGGATCCACGTTTTTCTCTTTTTGTCGCTTTTCCTCATATCTTCTACTACATATCCAGTCACTTCCTGAGAAGGCTGAATGTGCCTTGTAGGTCTAAAAATATCTTTATTCTATCCTCATACTTGAATTGTAGTGCAGGTGGGAATTTAACTCTAGGTTGAAAATAAATTTCCTGCAGAATTTTGTCTTCTAACTTCCCACGTGGTTATTGAGAAATCAGTTGTCATTCATATTTCATGTCTTTTGATGTGACATTTTTCCTCTCTGGAAGTGTTTGAGAGATTATCTTTCCCCCTGTTGTTCTAAACCTCTCATGATGAGGAGACTGGATGTGAGCTCTTTATTCATCTATTTTCTTGGGCAGTCAGAGAGCCACTGCAGGCAGGACGCTCATGTTTCAGTTAACGGGAAATGTTTTTGTAGCACATATTGGATGATTTTCTTCTCTGTGTTTTTATCTGTTCCCTTTTTCTGGGATGTCTATTGATAATTGTTGAACTTCTTGGGTTATCCTCTAAATTTATTTCCAACTTTTCATCTTGGTCTTTTATTTTCCGTATTTTGGGAGATCACTTTGACTTTGTCTTTCAGTGATTCTGTTTTTAATTTTAGCTATTATATTTTTATCTTCCAAGAATGCTTTCTGTTTTTTCTTTATTGCATCCCTGGATGCAATATTTTCTCATATTAACTAAAGGATGTTAATAAAAGTTTTATGAAATTTTATTCTGCTCCCAACATTGTTTCCTCTAGGTTCTTTTTCTCCTGTTCATTTTGGTTGCCGTTTGTCATATTTCGTGCTTGTCATTTCTATTTAAGAGCAAGGCCCTAAAAATGACTGGAAACTCAGTGTCTGTGTGGGTGTGTGCACTAAGCAGGATGTAGGTCTTTTTTTTTTTTTTTTGGTGAGGCAACAGGAGAATTCTGTTTCTTCAGAAAAGTCAACCTCTTCCTGTGATCTCTCTCTCTCTCTCTACCTAGCAGCTGTCGTTGCTGGAGCTGGGTGGAAAAATGGAGCCAGCGAGGGTGTGCTCACTGGTCAAGATGTAGCATTTCTCTGACTTCTGTCTTTAACCCCAAGATTCGACTCCACCTTCTGCTTTGCTAAGCGTTCCTGCGCTTGTACCTGTAGCTTTTCTGGCTCAGTCTAGTCAGAGGACCCGCCTCTATCCACCATCTGGGTGGGATGGAGAGTCAGTGGGCCGTTCAGGGTTTGGGAAAAGACCCTGCGGGCTAACCTTTCTATGCACTGACTTCCATCAACCCATATCTCTTTCCCAGCTCCGGCCCACCCACGGTTTCTGACATACCTGCTGCGTCCCACTGCCGAGGCTTCTGGGGGCTCTGCAGGAAGAGGCAGCCGCTGCCTCACAGCTGCCCCTCTGCAGGCTCGTTGTGCCGCTCACTCAACTCTGCTAAGGCAGCTGCTGCTCCTTTATCCACTTCCCGTCTTAAAAAAGGAAGCTGGAATCTCCCATCTGTTGCTGACTCCTCTCTCATTATTGGAGTCCCTTCTGGCTTATATCATTTAATTCATCTCATTAGAGGGCTTCACAAATATTCAAGTTGGCATGTTTAACCGGAAAACCTAGTATATATTTTTTTAATAAGACCCTTTTTTTAAACAGCAATTTTAGGTTTACAATAAAATTGAGAGAAAAGTACAGAGATTTTCTATATACCCACTGCCCCGACACATGCAGAGCATCCCTCATTATCAACGTCACTCAGCAGAATGCTGCATTTTTTTAACCAAAGATTAACCTACATTGACACCATAATCACCCAAAGTTCATAGCTCACCTGAAGGTTCCTCTTGGTGTTGTCCATTCAATGGGTTCAGACAAATGTATAGTGACATGTACCCATGCTGAGTATTTTTGCTGCCCGATAAATCCTCTGTGTTCTGCCTATTTTTCTCACCCCACCTCTCAGCTCCACTCCTGGCAGCCACTTATCTTTTTATTGCTTCCATAGTTTTGTCTTTTCCAGATTGTCTAATAGTTGAAATCAGACAATACGTAGCCTTCTCAGATTGACTTCTTTCACTACATAATGTACATTTAAGGTTCCTCCATGTCTTTTCATGGCTTAGTAGCTCATTTCTTTTCACTGAGTGATATCCCATTGTCTGGCTGTACCACAGTTTATTTATCCATTCACATACTGAAGGACATCTTGGTTGCTCCCAAGTTTTTGCAATTATCAATAAAACTGCTATAAACATCTGTGTACAGGTTTTCGTGTGGACGTGTTTTCACCTCCTTTGGGTAAATCCCAAGAGCATGATTGTTAGATTGCATGGTAAAAGTATGTTTGTTTTGCAAGAAAACACAAAACTATCTTCTAAAGTGGCTGCACTATTTCGCATTCCCATCAGTAGTGAATGAGAGTTCCTTTGGCTTCACAACCTCACCATCATTTGGTGGTGTTAGTGTTCTGGATTTTGGCCATTCTAATGGGTGTCCTACTGTACATTTTGTGCCAGAAAAAATACTGTGTAATCTCTATATGGCCATCATTGCTTAGCACAGCAGCAGTTCCATGAAGAGCGGTTGACTTGATTAGTGGTTACACCTGAATGAACAGGTCTAGCACACGATTCTAGCAAATCTAGGCATGACCCCTCTGTAGGGGAGGAAAGGAGACAGAAAGAAGACTCTTTAAGGTAGATAACGCGCATAGGTGGGGCCTGCTCATCCGCTAGCTCTTCCTCCTAGATCTTAGCTGATGAGTGAGTGGAACCCTTAGGTGAGCTCACATCTCTTTTCTCAGTTTCTAACATTCCTGGGCTGTGTCATTCAGGCTGCATAGTGAGACTTATGTCTGGCAAACGCAAGAAGGAGCACTGCCCCTAAGATTCTAAGCCCACTGCTTTAGGGCCTAAAATTTCCATTTGCTTTGAATTAGGTCAGTGAGTCCATTCGGCAGATTGGAACCCTGCTGAGAAGAGCCCCCGCACTATGGCGGAGCGCAGAGGTCCTAGCCAGGAATGGGACGAACTTCACGTCCCTCCAGTTGGAAGCAAATCAGAGTTATGTTTTCTCTTTCTCTTGGGATTTCACAGGACCTCTGGGGGAAATGACGGTTATATGAGGTGCAGGGCTGAAGCTGTGGCCATAGTCCTGCATGGTCTCTGTGGAGTGCCCTGCACAGCGACGACTCTGCTATTCCCGTGTCAGGGCTGGGCACAGGGATCTTGGCCAAGGTTCTCAAGCCACTGACACCATGTCTGTCTCCCGTGGGCAGTGACATACTTGGGCTTCCATCGGAGCTCGGACCACCCTAGGGAACTGCGGGGATTGGGGCTCAGGTCCTGCTGCTCAGAGATACCACCCTGTCCACCCCCTCATGCCCAGGAGCCTGGGGATCCCACCCTTCACCCTGATTGGTCTCCACTTCTTGAACTAAGACTCAGTTGGGGTTTGTCATCCAGGTATTAGCTTCTGTCATTGTGGCTCTGAAGCATCACGTCGTTAACGCGATTGTGAGGCACTGGAGACCAGACCCAGAACAGGGTCAGCCAAGTTCTTGGTCAGGGCTGGAAAACACCCCAAGCCTTTTGAGTCTCCTGTAGCATTGAGAATGAAAGCACATTAATATCTCAGTACATTACTTGGCTACACGCTGCAGTTGTAAAGCCTGGTTGTATTTAACTGTGACTTTTCCAACCTTATTTGGCCATAGAGCTCTTTTCTTCTCTTAACATTTGTTAACACCTGTATCAGTTAGGGCCCATGGGAAACAGCTGGCACACTAAATGAGCATGATTTAAAAGGGTTAATTTAGAAAAGGACTAGGTACAAAAGTGTGGGCAGGGTGTAATGGACAGTGCATTGACCAGGGGCCAGCAGCAATTGGGCAGTTCCCACCCCTTCCTGAAGGGCAAGGAGGGGACAGGGGAATTTGGCAGATCAGATTTGTCGGCCTCGTCAGTGTCTGTTCAAAGGCCCTGTCTAGTCTCAGAGTGCTGCTCCTTCTCCACCAGCGCCCTTACCTCCCAGCTGAGGTGTGGTCGGGGCCGGAACTGACTGGCTCCTGGACTCTGACCCCTGATTCTCAGACTCTGGGCTCGGCCCTCACCATATCCACCCTGTGACACCTGCGGGGGAACTTCAGCGCTGCCACGGGGACTCTGGTTCCCATGCGTGTTCTGTTCTTTGTCAGTTTCATTGAGATGTAGTAGACACACAGCACTGTGTAAGTTAAAGCACACAGCATAAAGATTTTATTTACATATATTCTGCAGTGATTACTCAGTAAGTTTAGCTAGTATCCATCATCTCATATAGGTCAAAAAAAAAAAACAAAGAAAAAGGAAAAGAAAAAAAAGTTTTTTCCCTGTGATGAGAACTCTTAGGATTTACTCTCTTAACAACTTTCGTATGTCCCATATAGCTGTGCTCAAGTAGTCACCTGTTGTACATTGCATCTCTAGTGGGACTTTATCCTACGCCTGGGAGTTTGTGCCTTCTCGCTGCCTTCGTCCAGTTTCCCTCCTACTCCCGCCTCTCGTAACCAGAAATCTGATCTCTTTTTCTGTGAGTTTTTCTTTTTGAGATTCCACATATAAGTGACATCATACAGTGTTTGTCTGCCATTTTACTTAGCATAAGGCCCTCAGGGTCCTTCCATGTGGTCCCAAATGTGAGGATTTCCTTCTTTAATATGGTTCAATAACGTTCCATTGTGTGTGTACATATATGCATTGTATACACACGTGCACATATATATAAACACACCATGTTTTCTTTGTCCATTCATTTGTCAGTGGACACTTAGGTTGTTTCTATTTCTTTGGGGTTTTTTTTTTTAATGCTTTTTGGTGAGGAAGATTGGCCCTGAGCTAACACCTATTTTTTTTCTTCCCCAAAGCCCCAGAACATATCCTAGTTGTAGGTCATTTTAGTTCCTCTATGTAGGATGCTGCCACAGCATGGCTTGATGAGCAGTGTGTAGGTCTGTGCCCAGGATGTGAATGCGTGAACCCTGGGTCGCCAAAGTGGAGCATGTGAACTTAACTACTCTGCCACAGGGCTGGCGCCATGTTTCCATTTCTTGACTATTGCAAATGATGCTGCTATGAACGTGGAGATGCAGATATCTCTTTGACATAGTGTTTTAGTTTCATTCAGATAAATTTCCAGTAATGCGATTGCTGGATCATATGGTAATTCCATTTTTAATTTTTTG